GGTCTAAAATGGAAATAAGTAGCACAAATCTATGTCCACACCTATTTCTTCTCATGCCACAGGCTCGGAATTGAAACTTTTTAAGAGGCAGCAGGAATTTGCCTGTTGAGAACCAAATGAAAAGCCAACTAGAAGTACATGAAAATCTCTATGTCACCAGCATCTCTATGAGGATCTTATGGGAGATGGTGCTGAAAGTCCTATTAAAGTCCTTAAGTCCTATCTAACCTAACCTGTAGGCAGCTTTCTTAGTAAACATGGAAGAAAATGATACCACAAAGGTTCTGTCCAAAGGATCAACCACTTACAAGAACCTAAGTCTGAACTTTCTCTGGTTGTGGTTCATCTGCCACGTTATGATTCTCTGATTTTAGGTTCTGATTGGGTTTTTATGGATTCTGATTTATATTGTTTTTACATGTATTACGTGAATTCAAAATGCAGTGATTTGAGTAATGTGGGATTCCTTTCTGGACTTTTTCACAAGATCTTGTAATGTTACATGGAATAGTTTGGGTTGGAAGGGACCTTAAAGATCATCTCATTCCAAGCTCCCTGCCATGGGCATGGGCAGTAATACTTCACCAGCACTGGAAGAAGATTTCCTGTCTATAGAAAGACAGAATCAATGAGTTGTGAGTGGTCTCCAGAGGTCATTTAGCCCAACACAACAAGCCTCACCAACATCTGTGAAATTTAAACTGGGCTGTAAATCCTGAGCCTTGTGAATTTAAATAAAAATTGAATCACAGGATGGTTTCAGTTGGAAGGGACCTTAAAGACCATCTCAGCCCAGCCCCTGCCATGGGCAGGGACACCTCCCACTAGCCCAGGTTGCTCCAAGCCCCATCCAACCTGGCCTTGGACACTTGCAGGGATCCAGGGGCAGCCACAGCTTCTCTGGGCAACCTGTGCCAGGGCCTCCCCACCCTCACAGGGAAGGATTTCTTCCCACTATCCCATCTAACCCTGCCCTCTGGCAGTGGGAAGCCATTCCCTTTCATCCCTTCACTCCAGGCCCTGTAAATAGTCTCTCTCCCTGTTTCTTGTCATCCTTTTCAGGCCCTGGAAGGCCACAATTCAGTCAGCCCAAAGCTTCTCCTCTCCAGGCTGAACAATCCCAACTCTCCCAGCCTTTCCTCCCAGCAGAGCTGCTCCAGCCCTCTGTCAAAAAAGAACTTGTCACAATTCACTGACACCCACAGACAGCCAGCTCTGTTAGGAAATTGGTGACATAATTACCTTCCATCAGCATTCAAGAGTGAGTTTGCTTCTTTACCCAAGGCATTTAAAATACTTCTTTCCCATTAAAAAGCAATGTCTAGGATCAGTAGACTGGTGCCAGACAGGATATCTCTGTCTCACCCACTTAGTTTTGTCTTAGTTTTGCCTGACTTTGCTCTGCAGTGAACAAAGGCTATTGGATTTCTACCACAGGTATGATTTCACATTTATAAAAAAGGAAAGCAAAATATTTCCATTGTGCAGTACAATCAAAGAATGGCCTCCAAAACCCTTTTCCAGGAGGTAGAATAGCTCCACTTCTAAAGAGCAACTTTCTTTAAGCATTTTTTTCATCCTTTAAAAAGAAGCAGGGGACAGAGGTATCACACACACTGCAAACTGCTCTCAGTACTGCAGTGTATTTATACAGTCTCCATCTCAGGGATGATCTAAGGTCAGTGATACTCGAGCATCTGATTAAGGAGTGGTTTCCCCACCACCACATAACTCTTTATCTCTATTTTCCTCCTCATTTCCTCCCCCAGCGCTGTCTCCCCTTGACACCAACACATTCAAGGTGGAGATTTCAAACAGTGCTGATCACAAAAACACGCCATCAACAAACAAATGACAGGGGGGAGTGAAGGGATCTCGATATATATATTAAAAAATAAATGAATAAAACCCTCAGTCCAGTGATGTCTTCCCTCTCCTGGCCCCCATGAGCTCAACAGCTTCTTCTTTAACCAGACACTGCACTTTGAGTCTGCAACAAACTACTTGGGACTGATTTTCCCTGAACAGGACTGTGAACCTGCCAGCAGATTTTGCAGTCGATACATTGATCCCTTCCCAAATGTCATTCCGTGCTTTCCCTCCCATGCCCCTGGTATTGATAACAGAGCACTGTACAAGGCAAATCATTCCAATGCCCTGCCTTCAGCATGTTTTAGACCGCAATGAATTGCCTGAATTTCACTGTCAAGTTTCCCATTTGCAGCTTTTTGCTTCCCCTTGCTCCTTTGTAGAGACCTTTATGCAGCAATTCTCCTGCTGCCTTTCGGGGCATCCCCGGGATCAGACTTGAGGGAGCAGCAGGGAATCCAATCCACCCCCGACTGCCCCAATTTAGACAAGGCAGTGCAAAATAAAAGGGATTGGAAAGACATCTGCTCCACTGCCAGCCTGGTTTTTTTTCTTTTAATCCTCAGTCTGCTCCACAACTTCCCCCAGGCAGAACTCCTGTGCCAGTGCCTTCAGGAACTGAACTCCACTGGCAGACAGAGCTGTTGGAGTGCAGGGGAATGAGAGCACTCCGGAGTGTGGATCCTGCCTGACTGCAGGAACAAATCCTCCCCTCTCCCACAGGAAATCTTTCACTGCCCTTGTTCTACATCTCCTTGGGAAACAACCTCCCAGATGCCACCTAAGCCCTTATGGGAATCCCTTTTGAAGCCCAACTTTCCCACTCAAAACAAAGCAGGGCACAGAAAACTCTTGTCTGTGGCAAATTATTAATAAGAGTGCCCAAAATAATTGTTTTATACCCCAAACTGTTTATAGCCCCATCCCTGGAAGTGTCCAAGGCCAGGGTTAGTGGGAGGTGTCCCTGCCCATGGCAGGGGGTGGGATGAGGTTTGAGGTCCCTCCCAACCCAACCCCATCTGAGCTCAGGCAGGTGATGATCCCGACACCAAACCCCACGTGTAAAAGATCCCGAGGGACCAAAGTGGTTGAGCACCTTTTCCATATCCTTCACCATGAGGTCCTCTGCCTCAAGGAGCAGCAGGGCCAGATCTTCTGGGCTCTGAAGGTAAAAATCTCTTGCTCTGTTTTTCCCTGTGCAAAATGGGAGACGACATTCCAAAGGGAAAGGGACACTTCAAAAAACCTGTGTTTGTTTTTTTTTTTTTTTTAATCATCTATGTCACTCTTTGCTCTGGTGGATTTCAGGTTTCTGTTTGATATAAATGTAGTAAAAGACATTCTGAAAAGCTTGGTAGTCAGGGGGTTAATTCTTGGGAGGGAAAACACACATCACAATAAGTTCATGTTCTTTTACCAGGCTATTCTCACCTCAGATAGGCCTTTATGTATATTTTAACCACATTAAAGCTTCTATACAAACAGTATTCCCACAGAAACCTCTCCCATACCTGCTGTGGTTCTATTGTACAGCGAAGCACAACACACCAAAAGCTATTTCAGTTTTTAAAGAGGAATATCCTCAAGCAACACAGCTACACTGAAACGCTCACCAACATTATTTCAATAACCTCGCCGAAGCCAGAAAAAAATTCCAAATGCCCAAATCTCTCTTTTCTCCACCAAGAGACTGGTGTTAACCATGACTGGAAATGGTAGAACCAGTTTTTGTCACACCACAAGTGGGAACGAGAGATCCCAAGGCTTCAGGAAATATTTTCACTTCAACACAACTTAGAAATTCCACTAATTTAGAAGACAGAGAGGTTCTGTGCCGATAAGTTGTTATATTTTATAGTTCCATTGAAGCTAAATATACATCCACCCTCGTGTTTGAGAGGATGATTGAGCCTTGAGGGCCCCCAGCAAAACCCAAAATGGATTTTAAAGATATTTGGTACTGATTTGAACTATTACACCTGTGCATTTTAGCAGGCAAAATGAAAAATCACCACACACGAAGGCAATGCCAAAAACCAAAGGAATAACTTAACAATTTGTGAAACCTGATTTAATTGCAGTGAGGGATCCTAAATTCCCCATGTCCCAGGCTTCAGAACAGTCTCTGATGTCTTATTAAATAATACAAATCAGGAAAAAACCCATGCTCATTATGGATATATGCTACCCAAGATGGTTCCCATGGTACTCAAAATGTCCTGTTCTTCCTGAAGGTACGAGTTAAGGAGCTCCCATTTTCTACTTATATGGTTGCTACTAGAGAAAAAGAAAAAAAAGGTAGATTTTTCACTTAAATTCCTGAAAAAACTTTGCTTTCAAATTCATCTTTTACCTACAGCTCATGCTGCATCCAACCTTAGTGTTAACTCATCCCTGCAGCAGATATGAAACATTACATTCAAATACTGGGCATCAAAACCCCACAGAAACAACTCCTTCACACTTTCTTCTTGCACCTGATGCTGGAAAAAAATGACTTTGCCCAAAAAAAAACCAAACAACAACGTTTGCTTCAAGTGGCTGAACCTGCAGCCAGGAGTTCACGAGACTCACAGGTGTTATAAAGATTTACACAGCTTCAAATCCCTCAAATTAGCAATACCCCCAAGCAACATCTATTTTTACAGCAGGTAATCAATTATTTCAGTCAAGGCTGGTTTTCACCTTAATGGCCTTAAAATGTTCCATATGTGGGACAATTTCCTATAGCTGGGTGTCACTTGTTCTTTATGGTAGGAAATGATTTAAAAAGAAACCAGTAAGAGTTTTAAAATGTGGCAATTTAAAAAGAAACCAGTAAGAGTTTAAAAATGTGGCAACACTCTTTTAACACTGGAAATCTGTGACAAGTGAGTTTTTACAGTGGCATTTCTTAAAAAACCCCAGGGGTTTAATGTTTTATTTTTACATGAAAAAGTGTTTTCAGTTATTAAACACAGCAAATAAAACAATTCCATATTTTAAAGCACAATTCTACATCTGACAATGGATAGTTTGCATTTAAACTTATGACATTTTGGTGGGATTTTGCCTAAGGCACAATTATTTCGTGCTCTTTCCTAACTGTCTGGACAGTTTGGGTAATAAAATAAACAATTTAAATGACTTACCCTAACTTGACCAACAAAAGCATTGGCTTCCTCTTCCTGCACAGAGAGGTTTTTGGGTAGAAACATGTCAAAAACTGGTCCGTTGTCATTCACATCTGTCACCACTATATTGACAGTAGCAGTTGAGGTCTAAAGAGAAAAATAACACTATGAACAAATTATCTTTGTTTTACAGTTTCCCAGGTGAAAAACTTATTGTTATTTATTAGACCTGACCAGTACAGAATCACAGGTAAACAGAGGATCAATTTGTGACAGAGGAAGCAGCATTAATTTGAAGAGTTTCTTTCAATCTTTCCATTCTTATCAGACAAAAAAGGCTTGAGATTGAATAACATAAAAAAGGCTTGAGATTGAATAATATATTAAACAAAGGACATCAGATACCTTTTTTCTTACACCTCATTTGAAGGACTTAAGGAGCTTCCACTCCCCCCAAAAATTCCAGAAAAATCAAAATTTGCCAGAACAATAAATTTGGAAAGAAATTAGTGACTCTATCAATCAAAATATGCTCCTGTGATGATGAGCTGAGCGGATCAGTCAGACCCTGAGGTGGCACAATCATCTTGTCTCATCCTCCTGTACCTTCCTTCCTCTACCCCACACTGACGTGCTTTATACCCCACCACACCAATTTTAGCAGCCAGAGAGAGGGCTTGTGGGAACAGCCTAATTAACTGCCTTTTACACACATAAAACGTCCACAAAACGTGTCTGTGCTCCCTGTGGAAATTTTTCTATCCCAATCAAACCCAGTTGGAGAGGGAAATACTTTGCTTGTGGATCTTCACAGCTTGAATCACATCCTTTTTCAATTCTCCTACACACTGAGAGTTCCAGACACAATCCCCCCCATTGTGTATTTAATACATTATTGTCATTGATGTTTTATTGAATTTTAAATCAATTCACCCAACACAGTGTCTCAAATCAGCTTTCCTGGGTTTAAATACCTTTGGATATGGATCTGCTTTGCATCAAGTTACACTGAAGGAAATTTGGGCCCCTCACAGCAGGAGAGACCCAGAGGGGCTGGAGTGTGTGCAGGGAAGGGAACGGAGCTGGGGAAGGGGCTGGAGCAGCAGGAGGGGCTGAGGGAGCTGGGGGGGCTCAGCCTGGAGAAAAGGAGGCTCAGGGGGGACCTTCTGGCTCTGCAAGTCCCTGACAGGAGGGGGGAGCCGGGGGGGGTCGGGCTCTGCTGCCAGGGAACAAGGGACAGGAGGAGAGGGAACGGCCTCAGGCTGTGCCAGGGGAGGCTCAGGTTGGCCAGGAGGAGGAATTTCTCCCTGGAAAGGGTGGTGAGGCCTTGGCAGGGGCTGCCCAGGGAGGTTTGGAGTCCCCATCCCTGGAGGTGTCCCAGGAAGGCCTGGCCATGGCACCCAGTGCTCTGGGCTGGGGGACAAGGTGGGCATCGGGCATAGGGGGGACTCTGTGACCTTGGAGCAATTTTCCAAATTCAGTGATTCTGGGATTCCATGAAATGTTTAGGACATTACAGTCACAGCAATTACACAGTGAAGGTGTAACCCCAGAAAAAGTCCCTTGCTTTAGGCACAAGACTGACCAACCTGGCTGAGAGTGACACCTCAATGGTTTCACACACAAAAAAACCCCCAAACCAAAACCTAAACAGAACCAAAAAGCCCTCAAAAAGTCTGAATGGAAAGCAGCATCTTCTGGTGCTGTACCTCCCCCCAGAATGAACCCCAAGCAGTGTCACATACACCCCCACAGTAACTGCCCACAATTAATGCAGAATATAATCTAACTTTTATTAAAAGGAAATCTCCTTGTATCTGCCATGTGGGAAAAGCACCTGCAAAGGACAACTAATGCCCTCACTCTCTTCATAGAATCAGAGAAGCACAGAACAGTTTGGGTTGGAAGGGACCTTAAAATTCATCCAGTCCCACCCCCTGCCATGAGCAGGGACACCTCCCACTAGCCCAGGTTGCTCCAAGCCCCGTCCAACCTGGCCTTGGACACTTCCAGGGATCCAGGGGCAGCCACAGCTTCTCTGGGCAACCTGTGCCAGGGCCTCCCCACCCTCACAGGGAACAATTCCTTCCCAACATCCCAGCTTAGCAGCATTCAGTCCCGCTTTCCTTGCTCCGCTGCCGGTTCAATCCAATAACTTTCTGCAGGAGGAATCCTGTAAAAGGCCAATCTCCTTCACCTCCCAGATCCTCAGCCCTGGAAAGCAGCCCAGCTGGAATGAGCTGCCTCATTTCACAGCTCTAAATCTGGCTGCTGTGTTTGCCCCGTGTCCCACGAAATCACAGAAGCACCACACGACAACCCCTTACTACTGCCAAAGTAATGAATCCAGAGGATTTGGAACTGAGCAAACACAAGGATCCTTTCAGGCTGGCTGCTTCTATTTGCTCAGGCTCACTTATTTGCTAATTGTTTCGGAAAGTGCCATTCCCACGTTCAATTTCTATAAGGGAAATGCACTTTATGCATCACTGTCATCACAAAACACGCTCCAGAACGTTTGCTCTGATGTGCAGTGCACGCTGAATGTAAATGGAATTTCCCAAGGATAACTTGATTCCACAGAACTCAGGGTAACAAACAGTCTCACATTTAATAAACTGAGACAAAGGTGGTGTTAAAAAACCGGGGCTTGAGACAGGAATTCCCATTTGGAAAACATTTCTTTTCATTCAAGGCAATTTAAAGGGGCTGTGGCTGAGCATTTGCAGCCTGTCTTCTCTTCTGTGAGGATTTCACAAGAAGAGACACAAGGAGGGAGGAGAAGAGATATCTGGAATTGTTTCCCAACTCTTAGATAAGAATTTTTAGTATTTTTCACATTGATGGCAATACTTTACTCATCTTAAGCACTTCCTTTACCTGCCAGCCAACACAGCCAGGCCACTGCTCCTCTTGTCACTGAGTCTCAAGTCAAATTTCCACTGATGAATTTAAGGAGCAAGATTTTTGTAAAGAAGTAATATTTTGCAAGGGAAAAAAATACTTCACTGAGATGCCAAAAAGGAAAATAAGTTCCCAAAATCTTACAAAATGTTCTACTTCCTAAACTTGCAGGGGTACTAAAACAAGACCCTGTCATAAGACCAACATTTCAAGTAATCCCTTATTTACAGTTTAGAAATTTATAGTTCAGAAAACTATCAGATGTGGATGAATTCAGTGAATTCAGAATTCACTGTAATCAGATGAACATTTCAAATAATCTTCCTATTTTTTTAGCCACAATTTAGCCAATGATCAAAAGTGGATGAAATCATGAGGAGCACTCAAAGCAAACTCTGGGTGAGCTGCAGTGCCCCTGGGTTCCCTTCTTTTAAATCAGCAACACCAGACTCTGAACTGAGAAAGAACATGGGAATACTCAAAAATCTTGCTTTTTCACCTGATTACAGGAAACATTTGTTGAAAGGTTGAAATGCCAACCTTTAACATGAAATGGGAGTCCCTTGGCTACCTGTGTGTCTCTGGGATGCACAGAGTAGCAGTTCTGCCACTAACATCACAAACTGCTACAATCTAAGGTTATTAACTAAATCTCACATTTTTATATCCCCATTAGATGGCTCCAAAGATTTGCCTGAGCTCTGTGCAAACCACAGCCTCAGCCCTGCTCTGAAATAGCCTTTATTAGACAACTGGAATTAATTACAGAGGCTTATTCAGAACTGCAGAACGGAGCAGTGTTGCTAACAACATGATCATCCATCCTGGGAATAATGGAGAAAGTCACCTTCTTACAGCAGCCAAGGAAATGTTTGGCACTAGGCAACAGGTGGGAAGGACCACGGGGAGTGAGGGAATGGGTCACTGGTTCTCATACTTCAAGTGCTGCCCCACACCTGGGATCTGCATCCCACACCCCTACAAGGTTACTGTCCACTCTGGCTCTGGTCTTTGTACCCCTGCAAGGTCACCTGAACGTGGCAGAGGAAAATGAACTCAGTGCTTAGAATTCCCAGCAGCAGGAAGCAGATTTTGCCTCGCAAAGCTTGGGGGAAATGAACAGAGAAAAAGATGATGCTTCAAGAAAAGATGGTTGAAGCAAATCAGTCAGGGCTGGAATCTTTTATTCGTCCCCTTGATTGTGTAGATGCTGTTTTGGTTGTTCCACAGAATCACAGAACAGTTTGGGATAGAAGGGACCTTAAAATTCATCCAGTCCCACCGCCTGCCATGGGCAGGGACACCTCCCACTAGCCCAGGTTGCTCCAAGCCCCGTCCAACCTGGCCTTGGACACTTCCAGGGATCCAGGGGCAGCCACAGCTTCTCTGGGCAACCTGTGCCAGGGCCTCCCCACCCTCACAGGGAACAATTTCTTCCCAATATCCCATCCAACCCTGCCCTCTGGCAGTGGGAAGCCATTCCTTCTCATCCCTTCACTCCAGGCCCTTATAAACAGTCTCTCTCCATCTTTCCTGTAGGCTCAGAAGGTGAAGAGTTTCACAAATATCTTAAAGAATCATGAAAAGTTGCAGAGTTTCATAGAGGATGCTCGAAGACAGTGAAACAGCAAAAAAAAAAAGCTCTTCACATATGTTTGAATACCACTAAAAGTCTTTAAAGAAACTTGAGTGGTTCCCCAAGGCAATGACAGATACGTAATTCACAACTTGGTTTTGTGCATCCATCGAATGGATGCTCTCCATGGAAACATAGCGAGGCTAAAAAACTGCTTTGGCTGGTTTAAAATGAGGCATTTCTTAAGCAGATTTGTCAAGCAGGGTTTGGAAAGGAGTCCTGAAGCTACTACTGGAAATTCACCCAGGGAAAAACCAGCCCAGCCTCATATCGGGCACTTCCCATTCATTACTGAAGCAAACTCTGTTTAATGCTCTTTTATAATAAGCATAACTCAAATAAAAGATCAACAGCAGCAATTTATAGCTTTCTTAGGGCCCCTGAAATAGTTCTTACATATATAATTCTTCCCTGAGCAATAATTGTAACATTTACATTGCTTGCACAAATACCTTTGTGTCCTGAGCATGCCAGGCCCTGACAAATGTTATGGATGGGAAATATGAAGGAAATTCCACTTTATTCTTTATTTGTACCCTGTCATTTAAATTGAAGCTGAGAATTGATGAGAGCATTCTATGCCTTGGGAGAGGAAACATTCTCAGCT